TTTTTTTTTTTTTTTTTTTTTGGTACCGGGTATTGAACTTGGGTCCTTGCGCTTGCAAGGCAGGCCACCGAACCACTGAGCTAAATCCCCGGCGCAACATGATTTTTTATTCGAATAATTTTTTCACAAAATCTTATAAGTCTCTGTAAAATTTATTCTGAAATAAATGTATTCCTGAACCTGTGTTATGGATTGGGTATTAAATGCCCTTCAAATTCAAAGGCTCATATGCTAAATGCTTTGTCACCATCAGTGTCATAAATAAGAGGTGGCAGAGCCTCTAGTAGGGGCGGGGCCCAGTAGGAGGAAGTGAAGTTAGTAGAGGGCCTGTCCTTTCTGCTCCCTTTTTCTCTGCTCCCCAGCTGCCAGATTGTGATCAGCTTCCCCTTCACACCCTGCCACAATTACACACTGCTGCCACAGTGTCCCCTGTGAAGCTGTACATGTTCCTTCCTTCCTTACTAGCCATATTGGCTTATCGGTAAGGATTGGCATGCATATACATTCCTGCTTCTTCAGCCAGGTATTTAGCTCAGTGGCTCCAATGCCTGCCTGGCAAATGCAAGGACCCAAGTTCAATCCCCGGTGCCAAAAAACAAAAACAAAACAAAATAACATTCCTGCTTCTTCCAGTCTTTGCTGAGAGCTCCAGTTTTTCTCTAGCCTTCCTAGATTGCACTATTGATGAGTGTTAACTGCCTGGGGTAAATGGAGCATGGCAACAGACAGACAGACTTCTCATGTATTGTCCTCACTGTCATGGCTCCACACTGGCTGACAGAACAAGCATCCTCTACATGTCCCAGCCCTCCTAGAGCCACCATCCATTCTGGTTGATCTGCCCTTTCCTCCTGACCGTCAGTGCCCACAGGCCTACACCATGCTCACTGCAGTATTTCTTTGGCATAGAGCCTTACTCCTCAAGCCCCTTCTCATGTTAGGAGCCCTCAGGACGGCACCATTCTCCAAGTCCACAAACCGATGAAGATAAGGAGGTGACTTGGGTGGCTTTTCCCCTCTTTATGTTCAGTCAGAGCCATCAAGTGTCCCCTGTTCCCAGGGGACAGAACCCCATCATTCTCACACCTCCCACATTGTTATCTATTTCTTCACCTAACATACTGAAAAGTCATATCCTTAGCAACTTCATTTCAGTCACTCATTTATTTTTATTATATTCTCAAGGCCAAGAAAATACAAACCACCATTTCTTCAATGAATAGAGCAGGAATGGATCACTTCCATTAACATATTAACAATTTTCCTTCCTGGAAACATAGCTGATATTCAGCTCCATCACAATTGTATGAACCCCTCTTATTCAGTAGTCATTAACTGAAACAAATAAAGAAACTTCTGCAGCCTGAGGTTTTCCTGGGAGGAATATTGTTGAGCCTCCTTCCCTCCTATGCCCCACGTGGTTGCCAAGCTCTGATTCATGCTGCGCACAGCCTGGCCTTAATCCAACCATAAACATCTGCCTGTATAGACGCGTGAGAGCAACTGGTCTCCACCGTATGTGCCATTGACATTATACAACATCCAGAAATAATAATTGGTACAAGAATTTCAGTCTTCTATTCAAGCAAAGTATTTGACATTAACTTTATGGCTAATTTATAAGTTCTGGATTAGCAGTATGGTTCATACCAGTTTCACTCTAAGGAATGCAGCACCAAGGGCCCGGCAATTTTGATCTCTGCTTCACCTTTAGCAATAAAGCTTATTAATTTCATACTGAAAAGCATTTTTTATTTTTTCCATGAAAATTAAATTTATTTACCAATTCTTTGCCTTGTCTGACGGTTATGTACAGCCCACAGTGGCTGGGGACCTCTATTGAATGGTTCCATAGTAAATAACAAAATAAGAGCTGGAGAAGAAAGGCTCATCAGTGAAAGAAAAGTCGGATCCTATGTGGACATAGTAAACTGCACTCGTGATTCCTATTCACAGTTCTGTTTTTCATCTGTTTGTGTAAATAATCATACTTGAAGATTCTATTTTCTCAGCATCTTACTTTTCTCATCCTATATTTGTACTGGAGTCAGCACACTGTGTACGTTTATATTAATTGGATTTTAGTATTCATCTAATGCTATGTTAATATTAATATAAATATTGTTATGTTCATCACTACCCTTGACCTTAGTGAACTGGAGATAGTCACATCACAATAGAAACAACAAATGGGTAACTTAAGGAAACATTCGTTCAACAAATATTTATTGAGCGCTTAATTGCAAGCACTGTGCTAGGCTAGGGTTATAAAAATGAGCTGTACTGGCTGTGGCTGCACAGAATGCCCAGTGAAGTGAGCAGTAATACGCAAGTGACAAGCGGCTACATTACCTCAAAGGAGTCACTCTGATTCTCAGCAAAGGATGACTAATTGTTCTGATTGGAGTATAAAAATAAGAATGTATCTACACTTCAGTAAAAACTGTCAATGTTCCATATTTGTGAGATACATGTAAAAGTGACTTCAAAGGCAGTTTTGAGCCGAGTATGGCAGTCCATACCTGCAATCCAGGCGGGAGGATCACATATTTGAGCCCAGCCTTGATAATTCAGGAACTTAATGAGACCCTAAGTAGCTCATGGCAGAGCACCTCTGGGTTCAATTCCTAGGAGCAGGAAAAAAGAAGTTTGTTTTTGTTTGTAGTATTGGGGATTGAACCCAGGGCCTTCACCTGTAGAACACAGGCCCACTCATTTAGACTTCCTGGGTCCGCCAGTGGTCTGGAGACAATGTTT